ACCATGGTGTACACTTTAGTTAACACTTTGCCACGTGACATTACCCCGTTGGATAGTTTAAGTTTCAATTAGTTTTCCCATATGATTAACACTTGAGAACAATGTAAGTGTCAGACATCGTGTCAAAAATCAGTGTACAAATAGGAATGTTCAATCGGTAAGGACCTTACTACATGTACACAATGGTGTACACTTTAGTTTACACTTTGCCACGTGACATTTCCCTATTGGATAGTTTAAATTTCAAAAAGTTTTCCCATCCAATTGACATTTGACAACAATGTAAGAGTGAAACAACGTGTCAAAAATTAGTGTACAAACAGCAAAGATCAATCGGTAAGAACCTTGCTACATGTACACTATGGTGTTCACACTACAGTTTACACTTTGCCACGTGACATTGCCCTGTCGAACAGTTTAAATTTCAAATAGGTTTTCCATCTAATTGACACTTGATAGTAATGCAAGTGTCAAACAACGTGTTAAAAATTAGTGTACAAATAACAAAGTTCAATTGGTAAGAACTTTGCTACATGTACACTATGGTGTACACTTTAGTTTGTACTTTGCCGCATGACATTACCCTATTGGACAATTTAAATTTCAAATAGTTTTCCCTTCCAACTGACATAGGACAACAATGCATGTATCAAATAACGTGTCAAAAATTAGTGTACAAATAGCAAAGTTCAATCGTTAAGAACCTTGCTACATGTACACTATGGTGTACACTTTAGTTTACACTTTGCCATGTGGCATTACCCTGTTGGAAAATTTAAATTTCAAACAGTTTTCCCATCCAGTTAACACTTGACAACAATGCAAGTGTCAAACAACGTGTCAAAAATCAGTGCACAAATTGCAAAGTTCGATCCGTAAGAACCTTTCTAAATGTACACTATGGTGTACAGTTTAGTTTACACTTCGCCATGTGATATTACCCTATTTGATAGTTTACATTTCAAATAGTTTTTCCATTCAATTGACAATTAACAACAATGCAAGTGTCAAACAACGTGTTAAAAATTAGTGTACAAATAGCAAAGTTCAATCGGTAAGGACTTGGCCACATGAACACTATGGTGTATACTTTAGTTTACACTTTGCCACGTTATATTACCCTGTTGGACAATTTAAATTTCAAACAGTTTTCCCATCCAATTGACACTTGACAACAACGCAAGTGTCAAACAACGTGTCCAAAATCAGTGTACAAATTGCAAAGTTCAATTGGTAAGAACTTTGCGACATGTACTCTATGGTATACACTTTAGTTTACACTTTCCCATGTGACATTACTCTGTTGGACATTTTAAATTTCAAACAACTTTCCCATCCAACGAACACTTGACAACAATGCCAGTGTCAGACAACGTGTCAAAAATCTAGCAAAGTTCAATAGGTAAGGACCTTGCTACATGTACACTATGGTATACACTTTAGCTTACACTTTTCCTTGTGAAATTACCCTGTTGGACAGTTTAAATTTCAAATAGATTTCCCATCCAATTGACGCTTGACAACAATGCTAGTGTAAGACAACGTGTCAAAAATCAGTGTACAAATAGCAAAGATCAATCGGTAAGAACCTTGCGACATGTACACTATGGTGTACACTTTAGTTTACACTTTTCCACGTGACATTACCCTGTTGGACAGCTTAAATTTTGAAACAATTTTCCCATTCAATTGACACTTGACAACAATGCAAGTGTCAAACAACGTTTCAAAAATCAGTGTACAAATAACGAAGTTTAATTGACAAGAGCCTTGCTACATGTACACTATGGTGGACACTTTACTTTACACTTTGGCACATGACATTACTCTATTGAACAATTTAAATTTCAAACAGTTTTTCCATCAAATTGACACTTGACAACAATGCAAATGTCAAACAACATATCAAAAATCATTGAACAAATAGCAAAGTTCAATCGGTAAGAATCATTCTATAGGTACACTATGGTGTACACTTTAGTTTACACATGGCCACATGACATTACTCTATTGGACTATTTAAATTTCAAACAGTTTTCCCTTCAAATTAACACTTGAAAATAAATGAAGTGTCAAACAACGCGTCAAAAATCAGTGTACTAATTGCAAAGTTCAATTGGTAAGTACCTTGCTACATGTACACCATGGTGTACACTTTAGTTAACACTTTGCCACGTGACATTACCCCGTTGGATAGTTTAAGTTTCAATTAGTTTTCCCATATGATTAACACTTGAGAACAATGCAAATGTCAGACATCATGTCAAAAATCAGAGTACAAATAGCAAAGTTCAATCGGTAAGGACCTTACTACATGTACACTATGGTGTATACTTTACACTTTGCCACATGACATTTCCCTATTGGACAGTTTAAATTTCAAAAAGTTTTCCCATCCAATTGACATTTGACAACAATGTAAGTGTCAAACAACGTATCAAAAATTAGTGTACAAGTAGCAAAGATCAATCGGTAAGAACCTTGCTACATGTACACTATGGTGTTCACACTTTGCCACGTGACATTACCCTGTCGAACAATTTAAATTTCAGACAGTGTTCTCGTCCAATTGACACTGGACAGCAATGTAAGTGTCAAACAACGTGTCAAAAATTAGTGTACAAATAACAAAGTTCAATTGGTAAGAACTTTGCTACATGTACACGATGGTGTACACTTTAGTATGTACTTTGCCGTAAGAAGGTGCTAGAAAATCGTGTAGGAATTTGACTTTTCATATTCCGCGTACTTCGGTTGATACTGTATAGCCTTTTGTATTTCTAGCATAACTTCTTCTCCCAATATCCGATTGAGATAATTCAAAGTGCATTGAAAAGCTAACTCAAAGAGCTACAACTTTTCTTTATATATCATTTTCCAAATCGAATGTTTTCTATGTCGCAGATGGGTCTCAAATGAGTCTAAAAATTTGAAGTATACTTTAGCCATCCAATATTCATGTCTTAGTGCCACTAAGGTGTTTAAATTTATTTGGGGTTCTACATCCCCCACACCTTAATTAAAATTTTGTCCTCGAAATTTACCTTCTGATTGGGTGAATAGTGTTGGATACTTGTTTTTGGCTTCCTCTTCCCCTTCCCAAGTGGCCTCTTCTATTTCATGATTATTCCATTATCTTTGGACCAATTGAATTTCTTTGTTCCTTAGTTTATGCACCTTTCGATCCAATATCCTAATTGGTACCTCTTCAAAGGATAAGTCCTTTTGTACTTCCATGGACTGATAGTTCACTACATGATTAGGATCATGCACGTATTTCTTGATCATTGATACATGGAACACGTTGTGCACTGCCGATAACCCAGGTGGGAGAGCTAACTGACAGGCTACATTTTCGACCCTATCAGTATCTCGAATGGTCCGATATAGTGAGGTCGTAGCTTTCCTTTCTTGCCAAACCTAAGTACACCTTTCATCGGTGCCACTTTCAGAAACACTTTTTCTCCAACTTTGAATTCTAAATCCTTCCTTCTTGTATCCACATAGCTCTTCTATCGATCCTGTGCTGCCTTTATCCTTGCATGGATCTTATCGATTGCCTCAACTGTCCTTTCAACTATTTCTCAAAACTCTCTTCTCCCCTACTTCATCCCAATGAACAGGGCACCTACATCTTCTACCATAGAGAGCTTCGTACGGTGCCATCCCGATAGTTGCTTGGAAGCTATTATTATATACAAATTCTACTAGGGGTATGTATGACTCCCAACTACCTCCTAGATCCAAAACACATGCTCTCAGCATGTCTTCCAAAGTTTGGATGGTCCTTTCAAATTGACCATCGGATTGAGGGTGATATGCTATACTAAAGCTTAGCTTCGTTCCCATAGCTCTTTGTAGACTTTTCTAAAATTTGGATGTGAACCTTGGATCTCTATCAGACACAATGGACACAGGTACATCGTGTAATCTCACAACCTCCTTAATGTACAACTCTGCCAGTTGGTCTAAACTGAATGTCATTTTCACTGAAAGAAAATGAGCTGACTTTGTTAATCGATCCACTATTACCTATATAGCGTTGTTTCCTCTTGCTGACTTCGAGAATCCAACCACAAAGTCCATTGTGATATTTTCCCATTTCCATTCGGGTATGTCCAGTGGATTTAACAATCCAGCCGGTCTTTAGTGTTCTGCCTTAACCTATTGACATACCATACACTTTTCCACATACAACCCTATACTTCTTTTCATATTTCTCCACCAAAATGTATCTCGGAGGTCTCGATACATTTTTGTACCACCGGGATGTGCGGTGTACGGGGTGGAATGGGTCTCTTTCAATATCTCATTTCTCAAGGCTTCATCCTTAGGCACACAAATTCTCACCTTAAACATTAGTACCTGATCTGAAGCTATTCCAAAATCCTTTCTCTTATCAATACCAATTTCATTCTTGATCTTCAACAAGAATGGGTTATTAACTTGTGTCTCTATAATTCGATCTCTAAGAGTAGGTTATATTATCAAAGCTGCTAGACGAGCAGTGACTTGTCCTGGTATGGTAACCACTTCGATCTACAACTTTTCCAAGTACTTGACTAACTCCATTTGAAAAGTGGGTAGTGACGCCAACTATCCCATTGATTTTCTACTTAAGCGTCGGCCACAACATTAGCCTTACCTGGATTGTAATGGATAGTGCAATCGTAATTATTCACCAATTCCAACCATCTCTCATATTCAATTCCTTCTGTGTGAATAAATATTTGAGACTCTTGTGATCTGTGTAGATATCACACTTCCCTCCGTACAAGTAGTGTCGCCATATCTTCAAGGCGTGTACTACCGTCGTAAGTTCTAAATCATGCGTCGGGTAGTTCTGCTCATGTTTCTTCAATTATCTTGATGCATAGGCTATCACTTTTCCATTCTATATCAGCACACATCCCAATCCTTGCTTGGATGCATCACTGTATTTAACAAACCCTTCCGTACTCTCAAGTATTGTTAACATGGGTGTTGATATCAACCTCTGTTTAAGTTCTTAGAAACTTTGTTTCGAATTTATCCGTCCATTGAAATTTTACTCCCTTCCTTGTAAGCTGCGCCACTGGTCCAGTTATTTTGGAGAATCCTTCTATAAATATCCAATAATATCCCGCTAATCCTAGAAAGCTCCATACCTCGCCAGCATTAGTTACAGCTTTCCAGTTGGTTACTGCTTCCACTTTTGTTGGATCTACCTCGATCCCTTGGGCAGTGACTACATGTCTAAGAAATCCAACTCGTTCAAGCCAGAACTCACACTTCTTGAATTTCGCATACAGCTTTTCCTTGCGTAATACCTCTAATGCTACTCTTAGGTGCTGTTCATGTTGCTCCTTACTCTTGGAATATATCAGAATGTCATCAATGAAGACTATGACGAATCTATCCAAGTACTGATGAAATACACGATTCATCAGGTCCATGAACACTGTAGGTACATTGGTTAGCCCAAACGGCATCACTGTAAACTCGTAGTGTCCATAACGAGTTCTGCAAGCTGTCTTGGGTATATCCTTTGACTTTACTTTCAATTGATGGTATCCCGATCGTAAGTCGATCTTGGAAAATACCTTAGCTCCTTTTAGTTGATCTAACGGATCCTCAATTCTTCGGAGTGGGTACTTATTCTTGATAGTTAATCGATTTAACTCCCTATAATCGACGAACATCCTCATGCTTCCATCCTTTTTCTTCACGAACAACACCGGCGCACCCTATGGAGATATACTTGACCGTATAAAGCCTATATCTAGGAGTTCTTGCAACTGCTTCTTTAACTCTTGTAGTTCCTTCGAGGCCATTCGGTATGGGGCTTTTGACACTGGTACCGCTCCGAGAGTTAGGTTTATGGTGAATTCCACTTGCCTATCTGGTGGAATACCAGATAGATCTTCTAGAAACATATCTATGAATTCCTGTACTATTGGTACGTCTTCAACCTTTATCATCTCCTGTTTTCCCTCCTGAAATGTTTACTAAATATCCTTGACATGTTTCTTTTCTCAACATCTTCTCAGCTTGTAAAGCCGATACTAGTCGAATAAGGGGTTTCGTCTTCATTCCAAGGAACAAAAATGGTTCCTCTCCTGGTTTCTGAAATGATACCTCCCTTTCTTTACATCGGATGGTGGCGTAATTACAACCCAACCAATCCATGCCTAGTATTACATCAAAATCCTTCATTTCTATCATGTATAGGTTCGCTTCCATTGGTTTTCCCTCAACTTCAATACTTACTGATTTGGCTATTCTATCAGTACTCAAAGGGTTGCCTGAAGGAATGCTAACCTCTAATGTACCTTCCGATTTATCATAGGTAATACTAGATTTAGCCAGAAAAGTTGTCGATACAAAGAAGTGTGTGGCTCCTAAATCAATCAATACATAAGCAGGCGTATTGGCTATCAAAAAAGTACCTGCTGTGACGTTCGAGTTTTCCTCTACATCTTTTTGAGTCATTGGAAAAACTCATTGTGACGCCTCGAACTTAGGCTTCGGGGGTCACGTACTAAACATAGTAACTTCTGCCTTTGGTACATGTAAATACTCTTAAATAGAAGTATTACATGTTAGAAAACTATTTTCAATTTGGTAAAATATCTCTCATGAAATTTAATGGCCAGCAGAAGTGCATGTCGACGTGGAATTAAACTTTACAAAAAAAAGGACTCGGTACTGCCACAGTTAGTTAGGGTAGCAAGTTCAACTATTTTTATAAAATTCATCCCAACTCCATTTTCTATGAAATATGTGGCATTAGAAAGATAATTTCAAGTAGTTTCCTAGGTTAAAATATGAGAATTTTCTAAGATCGACGTTTTACTGAAAACAGTGTAGTGTTGCACAGAAAATCCAGATTGACTCTTCAACGTTTAAAAATTCATATCTCAGACCACGGACATCCAAATTGAGTGATTCTTACCTCCATATTTAGAAAACTCAATGACAAACGTAGAAGTATTTTTATATTCTCAAATGGATGTCTATAGAGTTAGAAATAATGTTTTGAAGATGACCCAGAAACTGCCCGGATTCTGCCCTTTTTTATCATTCAAGAAAAAGGTTTATAAAAACGTCTCTTAACATAACATGGATAATATAATTACATAATTTACTTCCGGTACCATAGTAGATCGTGTCTTATACAATTTTTTATACAACACCATAAGAAGAAAAAACATTTGGAGAGCAGTCGAACAAACATGCAAAAACAAAACTTCGATGCAAAATAACATTCGTCCTTAATCCATCATCGATTATGCCGACTGACTTCCACCAACTTCACATCTATGGATCTGAAAATTTAGTATAGGATACTATGAGTATAAAGAATACTCAGTGAGATACCATGCTTGGATTTAACATGTTAATATTCCACAAAAGAATGCAATCAAACACATACTTGCACATTCCGGCTTGTCGGTGCCCTTCGGACTTGTCCTAAGGCATAGATATCTAACTTTGTGAACTTGTCCACACATTCATATTATGGTTTTTCATGCATAGCTTAGGCATAAATATTACCATGAAATCCTACCACTTAAGCAAAGAAAGTATCTTACAATAAAACTTGGAGAAACTTCGGTTGAAAAACAAGAACTTGAGAGTGTAGGCTTTGTTTCCTTTTTCTTCCTTTCCTTTTCTTTTTTTTTCTTCCTTTCTTCCTGCTAATTTTCTCTCTATCTCTCCATAAAAATTCTGACTTTGCAAAGATATATAGGCTGCTCATCTCTCGGTTATACATATATAGAAGCAAAGTGAAGATAATTAACCAAAATTGGTGCCTACATCTACACGTGGTTGCATGCATGTATTTCATAAACTTAACTCAACACCTAAGGTCAGGTTGTGCCATAATTTAACACCTCCTACCTGCTTAAACCACCTCACGCATGCATGTTACTACAAAGATAGCTTGACACCTCCTACTTGTTCAACAATTAACACCCCATGCACGCATTAGTTAAATCTTACTTGAATTCTTCTCTAATCTACCGTCCAGCTGCATTTATATATGTATATTGCATATGTGTGTATATAAAAAATGAGAGAAATGGTTTAATTTGTATTCCCACTTGTCCATGCATTAATTAATTGCATTAATCCTCTACAAGGTGGCGGCAAAGTGATAGAAATAAAGGGAAAATATATTAATGTAAAAGGTATAGAAGTTGACAATTATTCTAAACCCCTAATTAACTAATCTTGGTAAACTTTTAATAAATCGACCAATGCAAATTTGGCAACCATTAATAATCTTGGCCATACTAAATTTTTGAAAAGTTAAATTGCTAGCCTAAAAATTAAATAAGCAAATTAAACGTGCATAAAATTTCGGAGTATTACACTCATGCTTTCCCTTTCTGGCTCTGGTCATTGTTATCATCCCTCTTTGGAGTAAATGTGGGGCAATCCTTAAAAATATGCCATGGCTTGCCACATCTGAAATAGACATTTTTCCCTTGCAAACACACCCCACGATGCGTCTTTCCACACTCAGGACATGGCTCTATAACTGGCGCAATGCTCTTGTTGGCATTGGCTCCGCTATTAGCTTTCTTATTCTGCCACTTGCCCTTTCCCTTGTCTTAGCCATTCCATTTCCTTTTACCCATACTGCCATTGTCCAATTGATTGAACAGTTGATAATGTTAAGCGGCGCTAGTCTTTTGGTACTAGATAGCATGAGCTCTTTCCAGCATTTCATGGTATGAGGTGAAACGTTGGGACATAAGTATCATGCTTATAACTGGGTTCAACCCTTGTTCAAACCTCCTGACTTTCTTCTCCTCCGTATCCACCAGATGTGGAGCATACCTTGAAAGTTGATCAAACTTCCTTTCATACTCGGTCAGGGATGGAGAAATTCACTTTTTTGTGATCCCTCAAAGACTGTGGGAAGTACTTGTCCATTACTTCCTCTTTAAATCACTCCCAAGTCAATTTCGCTTGTTGTTCTGGGGTCCTCGTCCTTGACATCGAGTCCCACTAGTGGCTTGCATCACCGGAGAACATAAACTCAGCACACTGGACCTTCTGGGCATCCGTGCACCCTATTAATCAAAATATTCTCTTCAACTTGCGAAGCCACTCCTCGGCTGCAAGTGGATCAGCTGCTCCATTGAAGGTAGGGGGCTTGTGTCTTCTAAATTGCTCGACCACTAAAGCATGGGTTGGAGGAGCATTAGGAGCTAGTGGTAGAGGTTGCGCCTGGTTCGGGTTTTGCCTGCCAAGATCTTGGACCGCTTGGAGGAGATCTCTTATCAAGTTGGTTTGGTTTGCGTGGGCCATTTTCCTTTAGACAAAACGTATAGTTCTTATTAGTTTCATGCTTTGAATTCTAACAAAGAAGATAAAGTTTTATTTCTTGACATAAAGGAAGTTGTTACAAGGATTTAAATCTAATCCCTATAAGTTCTACGGATCTTCTTTGGTGGAGCCTCATCTCCAGAGGAGTCTTCCGCCTCAGGTCTAGATTCTATGTCCATCTCAACATGTGGCTCAGGCTCAGGATCATTCCTTTCTTCAGGCTCTTCTTCTTCATCAAGTTCAATTACTATCTCCTGTTGAGGTTCTAAGTTTTCCCTCCATAGGTCTAGGAGTGATTGGCAATACACTTCAAATTCAAATATATTTAGGTGCTCCTCTAGCATTACATCTCTAACCATGACTCCCATATCTCCCCATTGAGGTGGAAGAGAGTGTATGAGGTTATTTATAGCCTCAATACGCGTTATCTCCATTCCAGCATTCACCGCTGTCATGCATCTCTCATAGACATCATGTATATGTTCGTCAAGTGGATGGAGCAGATCAATCACGTAATTCTCATAGGTCTGAATGGCGATTCTATGGTTCAATGCTTCTTTATATGTCATAGCCATTCTACGAGCCATATCTATTGCATTTTCACATATCATACACTTTTTTTTAACTCTTGGAAAAATGGCTACTGTTACATAACATTCTACCTATAAATTATAGCCCAATGCGTATCTTTTGAAAAAAAAAACACCTCTTTCAAATCATTTCTAACTGGCATAGTATATCTTTGAAAATAAGCATAAGTTGTACCATAGCATCGCAAAGCATCATAACATAGTCTTTTCATGAAACATTAACTTTGAACATACTTGGGCCGTAGGATGAGATTGATGGATGGATACAAGATGCCATGGAGTATCTTAGACTTTTTCAATTTTTTTTTTAAAAACATACTTGGTCTACAGAACCAGCTAAACCTTTTTTTAAAAAAAAAAATACTTGGTCTATAGAACCGGCTAAACCGTGCTCTGATACCACGCTCTAACGCCTCGACCCCTTGTGGATCGGAACGCTACTTACTTTACTTAACTAACCAGTGGTTTAATCATAGGAGAATATGTTTTAGCGGAATCTTAATTTTTACAATGATAATTTTAACAACAACTTTTCGAATACTTTAAATAAAACACTGAATAAAAAAATAACGGAACATAATTTATTTGAAGAAAACACAACTTGTTCTTGCGTTCAGCGTTATTCAAATACTTTAAAGAAATAACATTGAAAATGTTCACCAAAATAAATCTAAATAACTTGTTCACCGGGTTTTCCATGGGCTCATTGCACCACTCTCCATCTTTTCCATCATCCAGGCCCAAGGTAGAATCATATCAATCTGTAGAGAATGGGTTAAACCCGTGAGTTAAAAAAACTCAATAGATATCATTGGTACATTCGTGATCAAGCTATACATTTCAAAGCTGTAACTTTAGAAAACTTTTCATAGTAGGATTTTCAGTAGAATCCCAAACACGTAGAGTCATGACTTAACACAACGCCTCGATCGGAAGTACATGCCGTACCCGGAGGTACTATTAGACATGGAGGTGTATGCCGTACCGGAAGTACCATTAGACATACAAACATTAACATAAATCTTCATTTTCTATAAACTTATAACTTAACACGAATTAACACTTTGCACCTCTACCTACCTCGATTGATGCTATGAACCTTGTTGAAAAATGCACTCCCTTGATGTTTCAAAAAAAAACACTCCGCTGAGAATTGATGCTTGAAAAACACTTCTTGATAGCACCAAAACTTCTAGAAAAAACTAATTTTCCTCCCTCTCCTTTCTCTTTTTTCTAGACTTGAAAACTCTCTCTTTTTATGCTTAGAAGCTTTTGTCTTGGTGTGAAAAATGTGTATGCATTGGGGCCTATTTATAGGTGAACATCTCACAACTTAAGGGTAAGTGAAGGGCCTAATACTCATTAATACGGGTGCCATTTATGTGGGAGTTATAGGTTTAAGAAGGTGCTAGAAAATCGTGTAGGAATTTGACTTTTCATATTCCGCAAACTTTGGTTGATACTGTATAGCCTTTAGTATTTCTATCATCATTTCTTCTCCCAAAATCAGATTGAGGTAATTCAAAGTGCGTTGGAAAGCTATCTCAAAGAGCTACAACTTTTTTTGAGGTATCATTTTCCAAATCAGATGTTTTCTATGTCGTAAATGGGTCTCAAATGAGACTAAAAATCTGAAGTATACTTTAGCCATCCAATATTCATGTCTTAGTGCCACTAAGGTGTTTAAAATTATTTGGGGTTCTACACAAAAAGTTTTCACATCCAATTGACACTTGACAATAGTACAAGTGTCAAACAACATGTAAAAAATTAGTGTACAAATAGCAAAGTTCAATCGATAAGAACCTCGCGACATGTACACTATGGTGTACACAATTTAGTTTGCACTTTGCCACATGATGTTACCCAGTTGGAAGTTTAAATTTCAAACAGTTTTTTCATTCAATTAATAGTTGACAACAATGCAAGTATCAAACAACGTGTCACAAATCAATGTACAAATAGCAGAATTCAATCGGTAAGGACTATGCTAGATGTACACTATGGTGTACACTTTAGTTTACACTTT